AGGAGGCGGGCACAGGAAGGAGGCGGGCACAGGAAGGAGGCGGGCACAGGAAGGAGGCGGGCACAGGAAGGAGGCGGGCACAGGAAGGAGGCGGGTAGGGAGCGAGTCTGCAGGACTCAGTGAGCTGGGGCAGCCGTGGTTCTGACCTCTCCAGCTGGAAGTTGACCACTCCTCGCTGGAGGAAGCCCACCGCCATGCAGGTGTCCTTGGTGACAGCCTGGTCAAACGCCTGGGGACAGAAACACCCAAGGGACAGCACAGTTCAGGCCCAGTCAGCTGAGGCCTTGAGGCTCATTGAAGCCCACTGGTGGCCCCAGCCGCCCAGGCGCTATTTTTTTTTTTTTTTTTTTGTCAGTGGTGGGGCCTGAACTCTGGGCCTGGGCGCTGTCCCTCAGCTCTTCAGCTCAAGGCTAGTGCTCTACCACTTGGGCCACAGTGCCACTTCTACTTTTCTGATGGTTAGTTGGAGATATGAGTCTCACAGACTTTCCTGCCTGGGCTGGCTTTGAACTATGATCCTCAGGATTATAGGTGTGAGCCACCGGGGCCGGGCCTGCCCAGGTGCTTTGTGCCAGTTTATGGTTGTTCCTTCCTTGTGGCCAGAAGCCAATCTGTACACCATGGAGAAGAAGAGCAACACTAGACAGAAACTCTTCGGCATGTCACTAGCTACCTCTGTGGAACAGACCGTGAAGGCCTCTGTCTTCTAAAATCCGTTTTTGTTTTTTTTTTGGTAGTCCACACAAAATGGCACACCAGATATTTATTACACCAGAACAGAACACAGAAGCCCCAGTGGGACTGGCTTCTCTGATTGGAAGCACAGTTCTTCCCCAAGGGGACTCCAGTGCGGTGGCTCCCAGTGTGGGAGGGGGGAGGGGAGGGGGCTGGGTGCAGGCGGGGTGCAGGCTTGCAGTGCAGTCACCCAGGGCAGGCTCTGCTCCGGTGTGCTGTCCCACCACACCCAGCAGCCACGTCCAACGTGCCGGCTTTCACTTCACCACGCAGGGGAGCTAGGGGGGCCCTCCCCAGCCCACCCGCTCCGTGATTACTCTTACTAATTGTAGCTTCTCCTTCTACTTTCTAGAACTTCCAAACTGCTGGCTAAATATGTCTGTGCTCCTGTGAATACTAACGTTGCCGATTTAGGCAGCACCGCCCCCTGCCCCCTCCCCCGTCTTCCTCTTACAGTAGAGAATGAAACTGGGCCCTGCCCGAGTCCCAGGACTTACCGAGCGCGTGCGCAGGCTCTCCTAACCTCTCACTCACCATTTAATGGCCTAGCCATAGACGGTTACATTTCCTGGATAATATGTTAAAGGGGAAGTTGTTTTCTGAGATGACTGCAGGTGCAAGTTCAAATGTAAGCAATAACACAGGCCTATATGGAAAATGAACTTACTACTTGTGGGTGGGGATGGAATGGAAAAACTAGGAGTCTGTGAGGAACGGGGTGACATTGTTCCAAAGGAAATGTACTCATGATCGGACTTATATAACTGCAACCCTCTGTACATCACCTTTATAACAACCAGTACAATATTTTAAAAGAAATAATACAGGAGCTGGGAAGGTGGCTCAGTGGTAGAGCGCTTGCCTTGCATGCATGAGGCCCTGGGTTCAATTCCTCAGCACCACAAAAGCAGAAAAGGCCGGAAGTGGCGCTGTGGCTCAAGTGGTAGAGCGCTGGCCTTGAGCTGAAGAGCTGAGGGACAGCGCCCAGGCCCAGAGTTCAGGCCCCACAACTGACAAAAAGAAAAAGAAAAAAGAAAGAAAGAAAGAATACAGAAGGCCCCATGCCCAGCATGTGCTTCTGGCGAGCTGTTGCAGGGACTCCACCCCAGTGCTCTGTGCTGATTCCTGTCCCTGTCAGGCAACCGTCCCTGCTGAGTGCGTGGCCCTGGAAGGTGAAGGATGCTGCAGGCTTTGAGCCACACACCCAGCAGCATGAAGTATGAACAAGAAGTATTGAGAAAGGCAGAGAGGGTAGTGTGTGTGTGTGTGTGAGAGAGAGAGAGAAAGAGAGGAGAAAGTGTGTATGTGTATGTGTGTGTGTGTGTGAAAGAGAGAGAGAGAGAGAGAGAGCACATCTGTGTCTCCTTCAATGCCAGGTCCTGTTTTAGGAGGCAGGAAGCAAGCAAGCAAACAGGGAGTTGAAACCCTGTTTCTCTCCATTACCACCCTTGGTCACATTCTTTCACCTGGGAACAGGTAGGCCCCCATTCTGATCCTGTCTCCAGACTGTTTTCAGGTATATTCCACCCAAGCATGCACCAGCACTGTCCCTGGCCTGCCCCTGGCCTGCCCCTGGCCTGCCCCAGGGACTGTGGTGTCTGGCCTAGTTGGAGGCAGAAAGGGCACAAGGGGCTTTTGTCAGGGCGGGGCCAGGGGCTCCTGCCTGCGTCCAGCTTCTCAGGGGAAACCCCAGGAAGTATCAGGAAGGAAAGGGAGGCCCTTTGTAGGTGACTTCAGCACAAGGACCTTTTCCCCAAGGAGAACGGGACTCAGGGTCTCCTGACACTCAGGGCCTCCCCCAGGGTGAGGTCTAGGTCCCCGCCCCAGGGTCCCCTGGGGTGAGGTCTCAGTCTGTGGCCCCGGGGTGAGGTCTCAGGTCACCCGCCCGGGGTGAGGTCTCAGGTCACCCACCCGGGGTGAGGTCTCAGGTCACCCACCCGGGGTGAGGTCTCAGGTCACCCGCCCGGGGTGAGGTCTCAGGTCACCTATCCCGGGGTGAGGTCTCAGGTCACCTGCTCGGGGTGAGGTCTCAGGTCACCCGCCCGGGGTGAGGTCTCAGGTCACCTATCCCGGGGTGAGGTCTCAGGTCACCTATCCCGGGGTGAGGTCTCAGGTCACCCGCCCGGGGTGAGGTCTCAGGTCACCCGCCCGGGGTGAGGTCTCAGGTCTCCCGCCCGGGGTGAGGTCTCGGTCTCCCGCCCGCGGGGCTCACCTGCAGCGCGGCCTGCGGGTCGCCGGCCAGCAGGTGGACGCAGCCCATGTTGAAGCACATCCGGGCGGAAGGCTCCCGCACGCTGGAGAAGAGGCGCAGAGCGCAGTCCCAGTCCCCGCGGGCCACGGCCTGCACGCCGCGGTGCCAGTCCCGCACCTGGTCCGCGAGCGAGCGCATGGTGGCCGGGACACCGGCAGGGCCGCGACCCAAGGCCGCGCCCGGAGCCCCGAGGCTCGGCCGAGGCTCCAGCCCGGGCTGCGGGCCTGGCCCCGCCCCGCGGACGGCCCCGCCCCTCCCGCCCCAGGACACGACCCCGTCTCACCTGCTCGACCACGCCCCCGCCTGGCCCCGCCCACAAGCCCACCTATTCCGCATTCGACCAAGCCCCGCCTTCCGAAATGCAGGGCCACGCCCACCAGCCACGCCCTCTCCGCCTCCCGCGCCCGCTGGGGCCCGCCCCTCCCCACCCAGC